CCCAGTCCCCGCCCTCACTCCCCGCCTTGGGGGGGGGGGGGGGAGGGTGACATTTGAGTATGACACACGATCACAGCTGCTGTGGTATAATTTCTCTGCCACCTTCGTGTTGTCTAGGAATATATGGATATATATATATCTGGTCATATGACAGAGCTGTCATGTTAACTAATTGTGGTGACATGACCCGCGGCGGTGAAGGACGCCCGCTGAGGGCTCTGGGCAGCTGCTGAGTTTTTGGGCTTTCTTAGGAAGTGGCCGGTTTATTTTAAACTCCCTCGTGCCGGGCTTCCCCCATTGCCACCCCTGCCGGGCGAGTGCTCTAGTCTCAACTACACACAGACAAGATTTCAAAGCTGTAATGGCAGAACTATATCTAGAGCACACCATGGAACTCCTATGGGGCCCAAAGTTGTCTGGCTGCAATGTGATCTATACAGGCAGCAATAGCTCGGGGCAAAAGCTGAACATGTACATAGTGTCTTTTCCTCTATAGATTCTCCATGTAAGTGATTTATTTTCTGTGTCACGGGGGGGATGGGCTGTAAGCTGGTCATTACAAAGGTGGAGGGGGCCCCTTAATAGTTTTGCTATGGGGGGCCCTTCTTGCATAGTTGTGACCATGGACGGCTGATAGGATGGGTCATTTGCCTGTTGGACCTGTTTGGTGTTCATTTGCTGGTAACAGGGGAGAGGGGCTGTGAGCTGGTCATTACAAAGGTGGAGGGGGCCCCTTAATGGATTTGCTATGGGGGGCCCTTCTTGAATAGTTGTGACCATGGAAAGCTGATGGGATGGGTCATTTGCCTGTTGGACCTGTTTGGTGTTCATTCGCTGGTAACAGGTGGGATGGGCTGTGAGCTGGTCATTACAAAGGTGGAGGGGGCCCCTTAATGGATTTGCTATGGGGGGCCCTTCTTGAATAGTTGTGACCCTGGAAAGCTGATAGGATGGGTTATTTGCCTGTTGGACCTGTTTGGTGTTCATTCACTGGTAACAGTCTTTAAATATGTCCACTCAGAGTGATAATTATAGGTGGGGTTGACTTGGTGAGATCCACGCCATACTTGCAAGCTTTGTTCCCACCCTCCAGAGGTTTTTTTTTTTCTCTTTGGTCCCGCCCCCCCTCGGTGTATTTGAGCTCCTCTTGTTCTGTTCTCCATAGTATGAAAATTTGGATGGTGGAACCCCCCCAAAGAATTTGGATGGATGGGATAGCGGAACCCCCCTAAGAATAGCTGCGGATGGTAGTGGTGGGGCTGGGGACCAGAGCAGAGACCTCACTAATAAAGTCCCTGAGATAAGAAACTGCCAGGGGGGTTAAAATCTTCAGCAGCCACCAGACATCTGTTTTGGGTGGAGGAACCTCTTAAAAAATGAGAGAGAACTGACAGGGGGTGATGGAGGCAACAGAAAAAAATACAGATGTCATAAGAAATAAATCTTCCATGCTAAATAACTGCATGCTGTAGACATTCATAAATGAGAATGATCTGACTCCTCCCACTGTCTCTTAAAGGTATAACTACAATTTTTTCCCCTCGTGTGTTGTGTCCCTCGCTCCCTAAATGTTGTACGATAGAAATCTGAACATCGATTGGATGTGCCGCTGACCATGGCGGATGTTGCCTGGTGTATGGTGTTGCTGCAAACCATCGATGAATCGCTGGTGGATGACGGACACGTTTTCTAATCTTCAGTGTCTGCGGTCACTCTGCCAACACCCAACCCACCAGTCTCGGTTTGAATGGTCTATCGTCGGGCTGATGACTGTCGTTTTAACCCACATGTGGCCGATGCATGCGTCGCCTGTATAGACATGCACGCTCGGCCGACAAGCGTTACGTAGACGTTCCTCCCGGTCACCTTTTACACAATTGCTAACTTGTATCGAGTTTCCTGTTATTGTAATGAGTTCTTTTACTTCTCGTAAATGTGACACCGCCACACGGGGTGTAAAACTGCTCAGTAATGTTTAACCCGGGCGAGATCGAAGATTGAGGACCGAGTTGTGTGCCCGTTGTTGGTAGAGGAACGGGCAGAAGGTGAAGCCCCCTCCCTCCCATAGCTGGGTGTGTCCGGCTCTCGCTCTGTGCTGTGTCTCTGAGCTCTCTGCTGTCTCTCTGAGCTCTGTGCAGTCTCTCTGAGCTCTCTGCTGTCTCTCTTCTCTGTCCAGTCTCTCTGACACCCTGGAGGTGGAGTCCTCTCCAAAGGCAGCTGAGGAGTGGGGGGG